GGGTAAAACCATTGAAAAAAAAAACAAGTAAGCAAAGGCTACAGTCGAGCGGGGCCGATCGTTGAATACCCTACAACACTATAATAAACGATATAGTTTATATAGGCGAGATACTCGAAAGAATTCCATAAGATATTGTGACAAATAATAAAACAAAACCATCAGGTTTCGTTCTCTAATTTTCGAATAATAGCAACTTAAAATAATTTGCTCATTTCCAATTTATTGGTAGATGTTGCACGTAAATGGTCTTCCTAGATCTGGAACCAATATTTCCCAAAAACCTAAAATCTCTCAGAAGTGGAAAAATATTAACATTTATTATCGGTTTTGACTGAAACGCATCTATATGAGATACAGACATTTGACTATATTCCTTAACTAAATAGTCGGAAGTGCGTCTTTCCTGTATTTGTGAATTCTCCAAAAAGTTACTGGAATGGACATTTTCGTATTTAGTCTACAAAAGTTGGCAAACTATTTCACACATTGAATATTTTTGGATGGCCATCCAAAACTGCTTGGCTTTTGTAATGTCCGGTAACCCCCATTCAAATGTGCGTGAGGATCGGGCGATAATTACGACCTGCTGACAATTTTGCAGTTTTTTGGTCCATTTCAACCCCTAAATATATGGCGATCATCGCCAAAAAGAGTAGGTTTCTATACTGACCTTTATCTTATATCTTCTTTGATTATATCTTCTTTGATAAACATATATATCGCACATATTTTGCTATATATCCGTTTTGTTGGATGTTAACATCAATGTAAAGATCAGAAGTAACCTTGTCATGGCTTTGTGATTTCGCCGGGATTTAAAATATTCGCGGTTTAATGAAAAATTTTGAATTTTTTCAACACAAAAGATATGGTCTATTTTACCCGCTAAATATTATCCGATGACCACCCAAATTGGTAGGCTTCTTCCCCGCCCTAAACTCTAGCTACATGCGATGTTCCGCGTCGATTGGTCTATAATTGCGACCTGTATAGCTACTGCAAAATCCGACATTTTTTCAGTTTTTGGTCCATTTCGACCCCTAAATATTATGCGATCATCTCCAAAAGAAATAGGGTTCTATTCTGACCCTAGCCCCACCTCCATTCTAAATTTCGTGAAGATCGGGCCATAATTGCGACCTGTAGAGTGATTACAAATTAACATGGACATACATAGCTAGATCGACTCAACTCGGCGAGATAGGAAGATCCATATATACTTTCCTATGTGGGAAATCAATATTTCGAGGTGTTACATAATTTTTGGCCCAATCAAACTTATAATACCCCCAACACATAGTGTTGTAGGGTATAAAAAACAAAATAATCGTTTTACATGCCAAAGAGGTCAGCTGAAAGTGTGTACCTTCGGTTGGCCACCTCAACGCAAGCGCCGGCCATGGTGATGGGCCGCCATAACAGCCGATGGTTGCTCTCTGCTCGTATTAATCGGCCGTGGCATCAGAATAAATGCCAAATATTATCGCGAAAATATTTTGGAGGGATATACAAAAGAGAGATGCATCCTAAATCCAAAGTATGGGTCCATCACGCTTCCTTCTTCATGTAACGAACAAATGCACAAAGACATTGTATAAGTTGGCCTTCAACTTCCCGAGTCCGGTCAATCACGGATGCTGATTGACACCACTGGTATCTAATCGGCAACTTCTCTCGGCGAAGACCGTAAAGTGCAGGTGCCACTGGGCGGTGGTTGTTGTTGTTGTTTAGCTCACTTTAATACATACGAGAATCTGCTCTCATTGGAAACAATTCTAAATGTAGTAGTAGTAATCGACAAAGATCCTCGGCGATTGCCGCGATCCTCTGTGATTGCATGAACCTCGGCGTTCACTTGTCGTTTTGTAGTTGAAAAGTAAACACTAAGGTCTCTACGCCACCCCAAATTACACAATAAACAACCAACCTTATTTTAAACAAGTAAGCAAAGGCTATAGTCGTGCGGGGACGACCGTGTGATACCCTACAACACTACAATATGTTAGAAGAACCCCTAAAACCCAGATCGATTTTAGAAGATTTCGCTTTTGAAATTTTGTCACGGAGCACTGACCTGACCAGGGACATTTGCCCAATATTTAAGCACTCCGTCATGCTGTTAGTTGTTGTGGTCCATTTTCTATCCAAAATGCTAGAATCCTTCCCTGTCCTTAACTCTATCCTCAGGCATGTCGATTGGCTTCAATTGTGTGATTAGGAAATTTTTTTCTGTTTTTGGTTCTGCATCTCTAAATTTAGACTCATCTAAATGCTTGTCACGGTATTTGGCTATATTCGTCAACGAAATCAGCATAAAAAAGCCAGAAAGTTCGGCTTTTGCGTATTTCGGATATCGCCTGTAAGTAATGCTGATATTTTTTCACACAAAAGTAGTGGTCCATTCTATTTGCTGTCCTAAACGCTAACTTCACGCGAGATCTCGTGTCCTTTAGTTTCCATTTGTGACCTTTATAACAGCTGCAAAATCAGGAACATTTTTAGTTGTTGGTCCATTTCAACCCAAATATATTGCGGACATCTTTAAAACCATTAGGCCTATCCCTTCTGAGCCTTACCCTACCCTTGTGGAATTTTTTTGTGAGGATCGGACGATTATTGCAATCTGCATATAAAAACCCCAACCTGGCAAGGTGAAAAAATATTATAAAATGTAAACTTCAATATAATAAGTCAAATTGAAAAAATCGCATGCGATAAAAAATATGAAAAAACAAGTAAGCAAAGGCTATAGCCGTGCGGGGCCGACCATGTGATACCCTACAACACTACAATATGTTAGAGACCCCCTTATGTCCAAATCCATTTTAGAAGATTTAGCTTTAAAAAATTATGTCACGAAGCACTGCCCAGATATTACCCTAAGCATTTTAACCAGGGACATTTGCCCAATATTTACGCACTCCGTTGTGCTGTTAGTTACAGCTAAAAACAATCCAATGGTCATCCAAAATGCTAGAATTCTTTCATGTCCTTGGCTCTCCTCTCAGTGTCGATTGGCTTCAATTGTGTAATCAGAAAAATGTTTCTCTTTTTGGTTCATTTGAACCCCTTAATATTTTGCGATCATCTCTAAAAGCAAGAGGCCCCTCTGTATCTCCAAATATAGATTCAACTATATGATTTGCTTGTCTACGATAATTGGCTATATACGTCAACGAAATCAGCATACAAATGCCAGAAGTTCACCTTTTGTGTATTTTGGATATCGCCTGCAAGTAATGTTTTTATTTTTTTTTTTTCACACAAAAGTAGTGGTCCATTCTACCCGCTGTCCTAGACCACCCACTAAATATTACCCGATGACCATCAAAATTGGAAGGCTTCTGCCCAGCCATAAGCTCTAGAACCGAGCCAACTTCCGCTTCGATTGGTCTATAATTGCGACCTGTAGAGCAGCTGTAAAATCATGAAATTTTTCAGTTTTTGGTCCATTTCAACCCATAAATACTATGCGATCATCTCCGATAGAAATAGGGCTCCATTCTACATTTCGTGAGGATCGGACCATAATTGCGACCTGTAGAGTGATTACAAATTAACATGGACAGACGGACGAACGGACATACATAGCTAGATCGACTCAGCTCGGCGAGCTAGGAAGATCCATATATTCTTTCCTATGTGGGAAACCAATATTTCGAGATATTACATAATTTTTGGCCCAATCAAACTTATAATACCCCCAACACATAGTGTTGTAGAGTATAATTAAAACTAATCACTACTTGTGTTTTATTATTTCTTTTTTCACCTCCTCACAATTTCCCCGCCGAAACAGGCATCAGGGTGTGCTAGGGCATAATTATAGCTCTAAGTGATTACAATGTAGTGTCAAAAACCGGCTTATAGTACTTTTTAGTACTCATAAGCTCATCTGATGCCTTGTACCATATTAAGCTACATGCGAAATTTCAAAACTCAAGTCATAAAATAGAATAGAATTTAACCACTTTTTAGCAGTTTTTACTCCTCTTTACTACGAATTTCCAAAAACCACCCCTCCATCATAGTATGGAGGGTATATTAAGTTTGTCATTCCGTTTGTAACACCTCGAAATACACATTTTAGACCCCACAAAGTACATATATTCTTTATCACCCGAAAATTCTAAGTCGATTTAGCGATGTACGTCCGTCTGTCCGTTTGTGGAAATCACTGTAGCTTCCGAACGAATTAAAGTATATTGATAAAATTTTACTCAAATGTATGTTATGTCTGCAGGACTTCTGGTATTGAAAATGGGCCATACAGGTCCACGTTTTGGTATAGCCCCCATATAACGGTACTTTCCGATATTCGGCATTTTAATGATTTTAGCGACATTTTTCACCGGAATTATTTCAAATTTCATATTTGAAGTTCGTAATAGATAGTACAGCCTAAGACAGAAAATTGTCTATGCAGGTCTATGTCTTCGTATAGCCCCCGTATAACGGTACCTTCCGATATTCGGTATTTTGAAGATTTTATCTACATTGTTACCGATTTTTTTTATGTTTTGCAGGTCCATGTCGTCGTTTAGACTCTAATATGACAGGTAGAGTCGGTATTTTTTAAGATTTGTTGTTAATTGTTGTTGAGAATTGCCAAATTCGTTGCAAACGGTAGAGGGTATTCAAAGTTCTTCCCTGTCGAACTTACAGCTTTGTTACTTGTTTTGATTAAAACTTATTGCATTTAACATATAGCATTTTAAGATATTAATTTATTTCTCAATTTTAAGAATACATATTATACCACAATAACAAATGTCTATGCATAAATTTAAAATTCTCCAAAATAATATATCTCCAGCCAAAACAAATATTTTTCTATTATTTTTTCATCAAAGTAGAATAAATCAAATTCACAAATTTCTTCAAATACACACCCACACACAACTACACAAATATCTATAAAATCTCATATATTTACCCAGCTATTCTTTTTTTTTTCTTTTTTGTTTATAAATGTCTACAATAACAATCAAACTTACCTGTTGACGTTGATGGTAAATGCTCCGACATTTTGTATAATTTCACTATTTATTTATTTACAAAACGGAAGGTGAAGGGACACGCCGCCGACACAGCAAAATGTCATAGACAGCAGCAAGAACAGCAACAACGCTAAGCTTGCTGCCAGACAGACAGACGGATACAAGGTTGGCAAAGAAAGGCCAACAGCTGCGTAACGAACGTGAAAATGGGGCGTTACATTCAGTCACAACAATTCCTTGGTGGCAGGATGAAAAACTTTCGTTTGTTGGTGATGACACATCAAAGGGAACGGCTTTCGTCAGCAGTGAGAGTCGGAGAGAGCGAGTGAGCGAAGGAAGGAATTGCAAAATAAATGAAACAATTGTGTCGGCGCAAACGGTAAACAGGATAAGCCCAACGGATGTAGACAACGTCAACGCTGGCTGTGATGGTGATGCGACTGAGATCCCAGATTTAATAACACCAGGAGGCAGCAACAAAGTCGTAGGATATTTTGTGTTTGTTGTTGTCGTAGTCTTAAGCTGCCATAAAAGTTGGATGGCATCAACAGCTCCAGATAATTGTTGTGGGAAATAGTTTTACTCCAGCCCGTTGATTTTTGTTGAAAAGTGAAGGGGACAAAAGTTTTGGCACTCTCTCTTTCCTCTAGACTTTGTGGGTGGTATGGTAGGTGGGGGGAGAAAACAACTCTGACTGGAAAAAAATTTACTTGTTGTTGTAGTTGATTTTTTTGTTTTGTTTATAAATTGCTTATCAAGTCTCAAAGGTTATGGTGGCGTTTGGTATTTGCTGTTGTTGTCTTTCTTCTTTGGCAATTGCTTTTGTCGTTGCAAGTGACGTCATTATTGTAATTTTGTTCTTTATTTTTTAACAATTATCCAGATTGCATGTGCTTTTCAAGTTCCTTTTGTTATGTATGTATATGTGTACGTGTGTTTGTTGTAGTGTTTTTTTTTCTGTTCTTCGTTTTTCTTTACTCCTCTAGGCCTATTTGTTTCATATAAATTGAGCATTTCATTCCATTGTTTGGTGCCACACACAGCATTCACTACATTGTGCAAATTTTCCGTTCGGAAAAATCTCAAATATGTATTTCCGGTTTTTCGTAGTTGTCTTTATCCATTCGCTTATCTCCAACCATCCAGAAATTGTGTTGTGGTTTTTGTATCTGCAAAAGAGAAAAATTGTTATTGGTATTTAAATATAACTAGGAAGGTTACACAGTGGGTTTAAATGTTGGGTAACTGTTTTTATACCCTCCACCATAGTATGGAGGGTATATTAAGTCTGTCATTCCGTTTGTAACACCTCGAAATATACATTTTAGACCCAACAAAGTATATACATTCTTGATCAGCATAAAATTCTACAGGGTAGCCCATATTCGAGGGACCTTTGGGCCCATTCCAATCAACGAGGCTTGTCCGCAGGCAACATTCTTTGCGTCAATTGAATTTTGTACGGGAACAAATGCAAATCAATGCGAATAATCCGTTGTAAAGTGGACCGAGCCATGCCCAACTGCTGAGAACGGCGTTTTTGGGATGTTCTTGGGGACCTCTCAACACTGGCTCGTACGGCAGCGATATTCTCGGCCGATCGCCTTGGTCGACTTTTATATGGCCTCTTCGGATTAGAAAGAGCCTTACCAGTCGAAAATTTTTCGTATAAACGCTTAATTGTGTTCTTAGAAGGCGCACTTCTCACATTTTTTAATGTTTTAAAAGCACGTTGAGTTTTCACAATTGACTTCTTCTGTTGAATGTAAATTTCAACTATTTCAGAGCGCTCGCGTGGCGTCTATTGGTTCATGGTAAAAATCTGCTTGGACTGACGCTTCAAACGCGGTATGTCATTAAGCGATGTGACATCTCTGTCAAAAGTTATGGCGTTGCCAGATGGGTCCGTCGAATATGGGCAACCCTGTATGTCGATTTAGCAATGTCCGTCCATCTGTGGAAATCACTCTAGCTTCCGAACGAAATGAAGTCAGTTGATAAAAATTTACTCAAATGTGTATTATGTCTGTAAGACTTCTGGTATAGCCCTCATATAACGGTACCTCCCGATATTCGGTATTTTGATGATCTTAGCGAAATTTTTTACCGGAATTGTTTCAAATTTGGTATTTGAAGTTCGTAATGGATACTACAGTATAAGACAGAAAATGGGCCATGTAGGCTCACGTCTTCGCATGGCGCCAATATAACGGTACCTCTCGATATTCGGTATTTTGATGATTTTAGCGACATTATTTACCGAAATTGTTTCAAATTTGGTATTTGAAGTTTGTAATGACTACTACAGCCTACGACAGAAAATTGTCCGTTCAGGGTCACGTCTTCGTATAGCCCCCATATAACGGTACCCCCGATATGCGGTATTTTGATGATTTTAGCGACATTATTTACCGAAATTGTTTCAAATTTCGCATGTGAAGTTCGTAATGGATACTACAGGCCATGGCAGAAAAATGTCTGTGCAGGTCCACGTTTTATAACCCCCATGGTACCTCTCTATATTCGGTATTTTGATGATTTTAGCTACATTGTAAACATTTTTTTTTTTTCATTTTCATTTGAATATTGTATTGAATATTTTTCGCATTTGAATATTGTATTGAATATTTTTCGCATTTGAATATTGTAATATTTTATGACATAAGTTGCCTACGGCTACTTTCGGTATTTTTAAGATTTTTACAGAATTTTTAACGGATTTTATTTTTTTGAAAATTGCCAAATTTGTACCAAATTGTGGAGGATATTCAATGTTTGACCCGTCCGATCTTACAGCTTTTTTTTTTGGAAAAGTATACTTGGAAAATATATCTAAACATTAAATTAAAATTTTGTAGATATTCTGGAGACGCATTAAAAACATTTTAAGCAATGATTTCCACATTTGATACTTAAAATATTCTTAAAAATCAAATATTTTTTTTCTAAATTAATTCGCGAAAATTTTCCTATAAAACCTCAAAAAATGTGATTCAAAAATCTACTATATTTTTCGGTAAGACCTATTAAGAGGTATTCTGAAGAAGTAAATAATGGCAAATTCAATGGTAACTGCTATATTTTCGATATTGATATGTCTTCGAATTCAGACTTTATATAGAGGTAAGACTTGCCACATTTATAAAATAGAGATTTCGTTGGAATGTGACTTTCAGCTTTAAAAATGTTAGATGTTAAATGGAAAAATTATCTGATTTTTAGTTATTTTATTCGACCTTTTTTGGCACAAACAGATGATAAATGTTAAATGATGTCAAATGGAAAAATTATCTGATTTTTAGTTATTTTATTCGACCTTTTTGGCACAAACAGATGATAATAGTAAGGCAAGGTCGTCGTCGGCACTTGGCGAGATTTTGTATATTTTTGTTATATGTTTAAACTAGCTGAACCCGGTGCGCTTCGCTACCCCTTTTGATTTTATATGCATTCAAAATTTTACTTACAAATATATGTTGGTTAAAAAAAAAAAACAAATTTAAAAAGTAAAAAAAAATATTGCAATACTTTAATGCGTAAATAACCAAAACTATTAGAAAAGCAGAACAATACATACATACACGAAGGGTTTGTCCTTCGTATTTATTTATTTCATAGCAAATACCAAGCGTGCAGTAAACTGCAATCTTTTGAAGTTGAGTGGCATTTCTATTGCAATTAGTGAATTCGAGATAGCAACATACTTCGCCGTAATAACCGTATTTCAAATTAATTGTTGTGTTGTTTTTAGTGTTAGCCTAAGGCGTTGTGGGTCAATGGTTCTTATTAAAATCATATCCCAATCTGATCCGGTTTAAAAATAATTTTAAAAAAATTACTTTTACACCAAATTCCGCCACACCTTTAATATTTAATTGAAATTGGTGCGTCAAATATGTGAAATCGGCCGAGAATATATATATGGGAGCTATATCCAAATCTTAACTAATTTCCAATTAATTTGTCACATTTATTATTGTAACCAAATTCCGCCACACATTCTGAATTTCATTGGTATCGGTCATATATATCATGTTTGGTGCATAACATGTATGAAATCGGCCGAAATATATATGTTAGCTATACCCCAACCTCAACTGATTTCAATATAATTTGGCAATTTTTTCTGGAGCCAGATTTTGTCTCTCTCGCTTTAGGTGCATCAAATATGTGATATCGGCTGAGTATATATATGGGAGCTATAATCAAATCTGAGCGTATTTAAATATAATTTGTCAAATTTATTTTTGTACCAAATTTAGCCACACATGCCGAATTTCATTGGAATCGGAAATACGTATCGTGTTTTGTGCATCAAATATGTGAAATCGGCGGAAAATATATATGGGAGCTATATCCTAATCTTAACCGATTTTAATATAATTTGACTAATTTATTTTCCAACAAAATCCAGTTACATATTCCAAATTTCTTTGGAATCGAACACACATATCGTGATGGTGCATAAAATACATGAAATCGGTCGAAAATATATATGAGAGCTATGTCCAAATCGGAACCGATTTTAATATAATTTGACAAATGTATATTTGTTTTAATTTCCGCTACACATTCCAAATTTCATTGAAATTAGAGATACATAGCGTGTTTGGTGCATCAAATACATGAAATCGGCCGAAAATGTATATGGGAGCTATATCCAAATCTTAACCGATTTCAATATAATTTGTGAAATCAATTTTTTAGATAAAATCTATCACACGTTTCAAATTTCATTGAAATTGGGAATACATAGCGTGTTTGGTGCATCAAATGCTTGAAATCGGCCGAAAATATATATGGGAGCTATATCCAAATCTGAACCGATTTCAATATAATTTGACAAATTTATTTTCGGATTAAATCCCGTCACACATTCCAAATTTCATTGGAATCGAGCGTTCATATTGTGTTTGAGGCATCAAATGAACGAAATCGGTCGAAAATATATATGGGAGCTATATCCAAATCTGAACCGATTACAATATAATTTGGCAAACTTATTTTTGTTCCAAATTCCGTTACGTATTCCAAATTTGGAGACTGTATCTTCAACCAATCAATAGATATGTGCATATAATATCAAAATTTTTGGGAGGTACCTCCGATTCTGATGCTATATCTCCAGTTCCAAGTGGAAATTCAAAAATGTATATAGCCTATGTTACTTTCAGGCGATATTGCAGTATATATGGAAATTTTCAGGAAAATCTATTCAGCGGTTTTCGAGTCCATAAATTACAAACAAACAAACAAACAAACATACAAACATTTTCCTCTTTTATAGATATAGATAACTAGCTGAACCCGGTGCGCTTCGCTACCCCTTTTGATTTTATATGCATTCAAAATTTTATTTACGAATATATGTTGGATAAAGAAAAACAAATTTAAAAATTAAAAAAATATTGCACTAATTTAATGCGTAAATAACCAAAACCATTAGAAAAGCAGTAACATGACATACATACACGAAGGGTTTGTCCTTTGGATTTATTTATTTCATAGCAAATACCAAGCGTGCAGGAATTTTTTTAAGTAGAGTGGTATTTCTATTGCAAGTAGTGAATTCGAGATAGCAACATACTTCGCCGTAATAAGCGTATTTCAAATAAATTGTTGTGTTGTTTTTTAGTGTTAGCCTAAGGCGTTGTGGGTCAATGGTTCTTATTAAAATCATATCCCAATCTGATCCGATTTAAATATAATTTAAAAAAAAAATACTTTTACAACAAACTGAAATTTTGAAATTGGTGCGTCAAATATGTGAAATCGGCCGAGAATATATATATGGGAGCTATATCCAAATCTTAACTAATTTCCAATTAATTTATCACATTTATTATTATAACAAAATTCCGCCACACATTCTGAATTTCATTGGAATCGGTCATATATATCGTGTTTGGTGCATAATATGTATGAAATCGGCCGAAATATATATGTTAGCTATATCCAAACCTCAACTGATTTCAATATAATTTGGCAATTTTTGTTGGTGCCAGATTTTGTCTCTCTCGCTTTGGGTGCATCAAATATGTGAAATCGGCTGAGTATATATATGGAGCTATAATCACATCTGAGCGTATTTGAATATAATTTGTCAAATTTATTTTTGTACCAAATTTAGCCACTCATGCCGAATTCCGTTAGAATCGGAAATACGTAT